TGGAAATGCCGGCTGGGAGGATCGAACACCCGACCTTCGCTTTACGAGAGCGACGCTCTGCCACTGAGCCAAGCCGGCTTGATTGCGAAATTCCGCCATGGCTTATGGCCCGCCGACCCAGTTGTGCATGAGCAGTGTGTTGTACGGGGTTTGGCGGAAGGGTTCGCGGCGCCATTGTTCGTTCTTGGCGGTTGGATCTTGCCAGAGACGTGTGACGTGAGGCTGTCATGAATCGAGCGATGCGAGACATGATTTGAGAGCGCCCGCGTGATGCAGTCGGCTCGTGGCATGGGGTGCTTCAAGTCTACTTACATACCAGTGCTTGTCAGCCTGTCAGGTGCGTTCAAGAGAATCATGATGTGTGTAGAACAATGTTCTCGAAACGCACTCGTTTGGAAGGAGGTATGGGCGCCTCATTTGCGCCACGATTTCCATTCCTTCATGTTTGTCATGACATTTCCTCTCTTTCAACTTCATCCAACTCGCAGCTTGCAATACAATCCAATACCATGTACTCGAACGCACCACCCATCGCCATGGAGCGCGCCGACCGCCCTCGCCGCCCCGCGCGCGACCCATCCCGTGGCCCGCCGCCGCTGCCGCCTGCACCTTCCGACTCGTACTCATCCGGTGGCCGCCGGCCCTCGCACTCTGGCGCCTCATCCATGTCCCTGCCGCGGCCGCCGCGCGACCCATCCCGCCCCCGCCGCCCGGCGGCCGACCCGCCTTCCGCCTACCCCTTGCCGCACATGCACTCATCATCGGATGTGGGTACGCCCGGCACGCTGTCGCGCGCGCCCGTGGCCGCCGAGCCTGCCGGCCGGCCGCGCCGCCCGACCAGGACCCCGTCGGACCCGCCCAGCAGCTACTCATCCTCGCCTTCGTCCTCTCGTGTTCCCCCGCCCATTCCGTCGCCACCCATGCCGCCTTCGCGCTCCGAACGCCGCGCACGCAGCCGTCCTCCGGCACACTCAGACGACCGCCCACGTCCGCGTGACCGGTCTGTGCCTCGCGACCCGGCGCCAACGCCCAAATCCATCGAGCTCAATGCGAAAAAGACAATGGATTACCGCGTGTCGCGCGTGGCCATCTTGTGCCGCGACTGTGGCAGCGACGTTGGGTTTTTCCCTGCCCGGCATCGGTGTGGGCATCCCAATCCGACAGAGGAGGACGACGCCGCGGCACCGCCCGTGCCGCCGTTGCCCAATGCGGCCGAAGGTGGCGAGTCGAGTATTTCCACAGCCATGACAAGTTTGTGGACAAAGTTCCAGGGGTTGACCGTGGCCTCGCGTACGTCAGGTGAGGGGGTGCTTGCATATCCTTTGCACTTGTGAAAAGCAAGTCCACTGACTCAAGAAGCGCTTTTCTTGTCCAACAGCCGATAGCTCAACTACGGGTACAACGGCCACGCCGCCCAATGGCGCGCCTGGCTCGCGCGGGTCGGCAGACTCGACGCCTGTATCGCCACAAGACGGAAACGCAAAGGAAGAGCAGGGCATGTGGGCCGTTTGGAACAAGCTCAAGGCGCAAATTGGAGCTACGACTGGAAACCAGACAAGTGATGACGGTAAGTTGTTCTCTTTTCCCTTTTTTTAGGCTTTTGCCTTGCAGAAGCATGCGGCTGACCCGCCCGGCTCTCCATCATCTTTTTTTCAATCGACGCTCGGCAACGCACGACTCACTCACGTACGCTTCCGTCTCAATGTTACGCCCTTGTTTCTGCCTCGCCCAAAAGAATCAGACCCTGAAGAAGTGGAAAAGGCCCTGCGCGATTACTATGCGAAAAAGGGCGGGCCCATGCCCGAGTTTCTCAAGGAGCAAGCAAAGTCGGCCACCAAGATGGACGATTTGGACCGGTTTGAGCAGCGTGCAGCAACACTTGGCCGGTCGGGCCGCCGGCCCTCGTCCTCGGACGACCACCATTCAGGCCGCCACCAAGACCCGTACTATGATGCGCCGCCGCGGGGTGGCCGCTACGACGACCGCCCACACCATCGGCACGGCGGTGGCGGGTACCCCGAAGACGACCACCGCGCATACGGTAGCTCCCGCGGGGGATATGCCGAAGAGCGGCGTGGAAGCGGCGGGCGCGGCGGATACGCCCCGCACGACGACGATGGGTACTATGGGCGCCCGCCCGTGCATGCGGCAACCATGTCGCGCGCCGACCGCGGGCATCACCAGCAACAGCCCGCGTACGGCTCGCCCGCACGTGGTGACCCGTACTATGACCAGGGCGCCCCAGACCGCAGGCAGTACCAGCAGAGTGGCGGGTATCGAGGCGGGGCAGGAGCAGGCGCCGCGGATTATCATGCGGGTGGGTATGCAACCGTCGGGCGTGGGTATCGGTAAGCTGAACGACTTGTGATTTGATTCTTGTCTTTGCGTTATGTTTTTTGTTGTTACGTCTCACGTGCCATCCGTCCTCAGTTCCCAATGTTGTCTTCCTTTCTTTCCGTCCTCATCTGCATGCATACAGACATATGTACATCTTGCGTCCATCACACGTTTGCCGCACCTCCAGAAAGTCAAATGAATCTATTTACCAGCAGATGTTATGAACTATGTATTCACTAAACACGCTAAAACAAGACCACCGCCTGGCCCGCTTCATCATCCCAAACCACCAGCGGCTCGTCAGCCGCCCCGACGGCTCCCAGGCCCGCGGCTCCCTGCTGCTGGTCGGCCGTCTCGACCCCTTCAAACAAGCGATTGTAACACTGCAACCCCTGCGTCGAATAATGCTTGTACGGGTTCTGCAAATGACCCAAGTTTGCCCCACAATTGAAACAAAAATGCGTGCCGCACGCACTGCACGTCATGTGCGCACACCCTGCGCTCCGCGACACTCCCTGCCTGCACTGCGGGCATGGCGTGACATTGGCCTTGATCCACTCGCGCGTCTCGCTCTCGGCCTCGTGTTCCCTAGCCAGTCGTTCAACAACCGACCGCCCGTATTGCACATAGAGCGGGAGTAGTTTGGCTTCGCGCTCGCCCTTGGTCGGCAGCGCCATGGCCGCAAGGTAGGCTTGGACGACAGCGGATGCGTTGGCCACGCGGCACGCTTGCGCCGACCCATGCCAGGACCGCGAGCAGTAGACGCAGAAGGCAAAGTGGCACCGCAGGCACGTGGCAAGTTTGGCGTAAGGCCCCGACAAGTGGCCGCGGGCGGGCCCGCCGCATGTTGGTCGTGGGCACCAGTGCATTGCTGGATCGCTGGCGTATGCGCGCGCAAGAAACTGGTCAGTGAATTTGGTTGCGAATGCGGGGCCGAGCAGAGTGGAGAGGAAGGTGGGTTGGATTGGGTGCGCGTTGAGCAAGGATTGCGCCGACTGGACGGGGTCTATGGCCGGTGCATGTGATTTGGCGGGTCGATCCGTTTCAGCGGTCGTTGTCGTGGAGGTTGTAGGCTCGTCCCCGCGCGGGCAGTCCGGGTGTGGGCAGCGGACCTGTTTGGGCATGCCCTCCTTGATGAGCACAGTGAAAAAGTCGACCAGGCATTGCCGGCAGAATCGGTGTCCGCATCCGGGGACCAGGACAGCGTCGCGGCCCGGGCGCGGGTCCAGGCAGATGAGGCACGTGTAGGGCGTGCGCTCGAGGGCCGCGAGCTTGCGTGCTTGGTCATGCCGGTGAATTGCATCCAAAGCCTCTTGCGACGTGACTTGCAGAGTGGATCCTGATAGAGACGAGACATGTGTGTCGAGGGCATTGGCAACTTCGGTGTGGATGTCAAAGAGAGCGACCGAGCCGTAGGCCAGGCAGGATTCGGCGGTCGCATGTGCCGCGGCAGAGAGGGCGGTGAGCAACGGAGGCGGGGCCCAGTCCGAGGTGAGCTTGAGGCGCGGGCGGGCAGTTGACGGGTATGCCGGTGGCAAGGCAAAGTGCAGGACAATGGGCGGGAGCGAGTGGACCACAATGGTTTGCTGGGCCTGTTCCGAGTCCGGCTTCGAGCCGTTGGCCTGGTTTAGGGAAACGGAGAGTCCATCCCCGGGCAGCTCGACCTGGACGCCAATGTGGCCGTGCCTGCGAACATTGTCAGGTGGCACGGGGAGGACACGCAGCGAGTCGGGAAAGATGGACGCCAGGGCAACCAGCTCTTCGTCCTGCTGCTGGGCATCCTCATCCTCATCCTCATTGCTGGCATCTTCCTGGCCATTCTGCGAGGCGGGAGTGGGAATCGGAACCGCAGAGAGTTGCGAGACTGCAGCCGTTGGTTCTTCATGTTGAGCCGAGGCGGATGGACTTGACGACGGCGACAGCGACGACATGCTGAGACTCTGGCTGCCAAAGGCACGCTGAATGCATCAACTCAATTCATTTCTTGCCTTTCGAGGGTCCGTTGGTTTATTGTGTGCCGTGCATGCGGGTCGAGGGGCGAGGCGATCTTGCGACCCCAGCCCGCTGACTCGGCCAGTGTGGCGCTGACTTTGACTCGAAGGCGATGGCCGGGAGGACAAAGGCTCCCGCCATCCTCCCGTCCCGGCAGTCGACCCCTTGAATCTTTTCAATCTTTTCGCAATGCTCAAACCAATTCGCTCCCCGGCTTCATGCCTGTGCCTTCACCCATGATCATGAGCATTTTGCCACATGAACAGAGGTGCAGTGGAGTTCATGATCAGTGGAGCTTTGGAAAACGTCTCACTTGCACATTCCCTCTTACCTTTACTGGCACTCGTCCCGGGCCCCGGCCAACGTCCACGGTCCACCCAACACCCGCCACACTCGAAGTGGAGATGGGCCAGCGGGCCATAAATCATGGCGGAATTGGCCGCTCAAGCCGGCTTGGCTCAGTGGCAGAGCGTCGCTCTCGTAAAGCGAAGGTCGGGTGTTCGATCCTCCCAGCCGGCATTTATATCCATTTTGCACAAATTTCTCTGGTGGAAATGTTGTCCATGTGCACGGCTACATTTTGAACCACGTTTGGTACAATTTGGAGCATATTTGAGTGTACTGTGGGCAGTTTCAACCTGTAATCCGTTGATGGTTCTGTTCGCATCATTTCCCATCATCGATCGCGTCTGATACAGCTTCGACGACTGCCGGTGGCTTGACATCCACACGCACTGGGGCAGTAGAGC